CAACCAGTGGATCATTTGACTCCAAACAAACCCTCTGCATCATCCTCCACAACAAGCTCCAAATAACCTGATAGCCAATGTGATGCTCCTGCAATAGTAGGCCTCTTACCACAAGTGGTAACAAATGGAGACAAACAAGGTCCAGAACAGGCACGGATACAGTGTTCCAAAGCTAGCTGACCCTGCTACACACTATTTGTAGAGCTCTAAGTCAATTTAGTCAAATCCAAATCTAGGCAAACATAACTTAGTAGTAGTATTTAACATCCCTACCCTATCAAGGGTACCAGTTTCCATAGAACTGAGAGGCCTCAGGAACCTCAATTTGTTGAGTATTGGAAACAACGTACATACAAAAGACGGAACCGGAACCAGACGACCAGGCACCGCAAAAAGCCGGCTGCCCCGCTAATACGATACCCTTGCACCTCAACAAGCCTTGGCTTCATTCTCAAAAGTATTGCGGTGAAGGACAGCCATGGTAGGATGAGACATGATGTGAAACAGGAAGATTCACCCCCTTCCCTGCCCTTTAACACAGGAGAAAAACCAGTTGCAAGGGTCAACAGCGTCAAAGACGCCACCTCGAAACCCCAAGACCATTACACATTTCCCTACTTGTAGATCTAATCACATTAGTCAAATCCTAATTTTGGCAAACACTACAAAATGTCGAATAACTGACCACTTAGATCTGTAGGATCCTACCAGTAGACCCCAGGAGTACAAACATACGGTATGTGATATAACTGTGGCGTCGCACGGTCCGCGCGTGTACCAAAAATGTAACCAGAAAATGTACTCTGTTGAGCTCCGTGTAATTATCGTGTGAAGAGTTTTTGTACTGTGGGTTCGAGAGCTTACAGTTATTTACGTAATCGTTTGAGTAGCAACGAAAATTACATGTAACCACGCAGCGCGAGGTTACTAAACAAATGAACTACAAGGAGCACTGCCTCCGCAATGTAGGGAAATGGGCTTTCTGGAGCCTGCAAATGAACTACAAGCACTGCCTCCGACGATGTAGGGGATTGGGCTCTTTTCCCTCCCCGGTCCCTCTCCGGATCGTGCAACTGAACTACAAGCACTGCCTCCGATGATTTAGGGGATTGGGCTTTTTCCCCTCCCTGGTCCCTCCCTGGATGCTGCAAATGAACTACAAGCACTGCCTCCGCACTGTAGGGGAATGGGCTTTCTGGAGCCTGCAAATGAACTACAAGCACTGCCTCCGACGATGTAGGGGATTGGGCTCTTTTCCCTCCCCGTCCCTCCGGATTACAGCAA